CATTTTTTCAGAATGCAGGAGATAATCAAGCATAAAATTCAACCACTAAAACAATTTTTTTATTCAGTAGTGTAAGTGAATAACTGTAATTTATCACCTTAATCAAAAACTAATAACCTATGTTACCATATTTTTCTACTTTTTTTCATAAAACTGTATATCTGAATATTCATGGATAACAACGTAATTATATTTAAGCATTAAACATATCATTTTGATTAAAGATTGCACATAGTGGTAGATTAACCATTACAGAAACAATAAAAAATCATTTTGGTATATTAACCATTATTATTTAGCTGTTTGTGCAGCTGCGACTCAACCCTCATATTCAGTGTAATGAATTTGTTGTGGACTGCATATAATACTAAATTTGCTAGCTAACTTCCAGTGACAACATGAAATCATATTTCTGGTAATTAACCAAGATGGCAATCAAACAATGTAATATGTATGTAAGGCCACAGGCAGTGAGACTGGTTGGCGACCTCCTGGTAACCACCAGTCCCTCGCCTAGGAAAAAAAAGAAAAAGAGTATTCCCTGATAGGTTGTAAGTTGTTGTTGGAAGTTGACTGCTAAAGCCCCAGTCACTCAGACTTGGAGACCATTCAAGATAACACATAGGGATGACACTTGCTGTCATAATTGCTTTTATTGCTAGCAGTTATCCAAAGTATGCAAACACTCCCTGGCTTTTCACTAACTGGTAGTGAAACTGTGAAGAGTTTAATGCAAACTCGAATTTGTTACCATTCACCTTCAAAGTAAAAGCACTGCCTTTTGAAATAAATTAGTTTCAGATTTAAGGCACAGCTTTTACTTTGATTACAAACATTCCCCTTTCTGGTTTGTGTCAGATTTTCTCAAGTTTCCTTAGCACTGATTCTTTGTATATATGTTGGTGTCTTCCATGCAAATTATAGGCAATTGTAACAATATGCTAATAACCAAAGCAATCACGAGGAGGGTTTTCCAGATTTTACCCAGCGACAGCTAACAAACACTTGCAAGGTGGGCAGGGAATACACCTGTTTCCCTAGCGCTTTTGGGTCCTTAGGGACTAGTAAAGCGCTATATAAATACAGGCCATTTACCATTTAGTGACCAGATGTTACAGTGGTCTCTTGGCTAATGGAAACCTAAAGTATTTCCACTTAACATGCCACGCATGTACATGAACCTGAAGTGTAAACATAAGGAATTTGACAAAAAGTGTATGAACATTGTGCAACTGTCTTTCAAATGAAGGTGTCAAAAGTCTGTTGGACTACATCATGCAGAAGCTCTTATAATGTGGCATTACACGACTGACAAAATGTTATTGGATACCTATTGAGTTTCCATATTGGAATGTAGAATTTCTTAAACAGATGGGGACGGTGAAAAAGTCTTGCTGTATGGGTATAATATGGAAATTCCTTCACATTCATGTACTAATTTTTGTAGTAGCTGATAATTCAAGGTTCAAGGTTCTTTATTTGTCACAAGCATAGTTATACAAGTATAACAGACAGTGAAATGTAACCTGACACGCTCCTCGACATGTGCAAAAATGGAAGAACATTACATATATATATATATATATATATATATATGTACACATTGGGTGAATGTGCAGTAGTAGCAGCAAGCAGGTGAATTCTGTACATTAATATGAATAGACATCTGACTATTTTACAGAATAGACAATATAAACATATTTAAGATTAAAGGAATTTGGAATGTACATTGTGCCTGGGTTTAGAGTGTCTGGAAGAGAGTCCTGTCTCAGTCAATTATAGATGATGTGAGTGGGCGGGTGTGTGTGTTTAGGGCCCGGATGGCTTGGGGATAGAAGCTCCTCTTGAGTCTCTCTGTCCTTGCCCGGATGATGCAGAACCTTCTACCAGATTGCAGAAGTTGGAACAGTTTGTTGCCAGGATGGGACGGGTCCTTCAGTATCTGCGCTGTTCTAGTCCAGCATCTCCTGGTGTAGGTGTCCTGAAGCGGGGGGAGAGCAATCCTGCAGCAGTGTTCTGCTGTACGGATCACTCTCTGGAGAGCTTTTTGGTCCTTCACACAGCTGTTCCCAAACCACGATGTCATGTTCTGTGTGAGGATGCTCTCCACAGCACCTGTATAGAAAATCCTGAGGATCTTTGGAGAGACCCTGAACTTCCTCAGTTGTCGTAGGTGATACAGGCGCTGCCAATTTGTAGTGTTACTGTAAGTGTGCCAGCGACTGTTACATATCACAGTCTTTATCAAGCTGTTTTAGTTGGCATCCACTGTGGGACAATATAAGGGACTTTTTCTGAGTCAGACACACTTCATTAGGGTAATCGATCACAGAGTGGGTTATGACTAATGTCCCTCATGGGCCACTGTGGGTAGAGCTTTGTCAAACACCATAATAATCAACTACACAACCCTTGAACTATAATGTGGCATCTAGAGGCATTTCAGTGGTATCTTCAGGACTTTGTTGAACTTCTATCTCAAAAAAAGCAGTTGCCATCAAATACTGGAAAGTTCTGGAAGGCACATTTGACAAAGGCTGATGTGGCATGTGCCCTCTCTCTGGTTCATGCCCTAAAGTGGGGTCAAACCGATAGCCTCGCTGTCAGTGGGGCAAATATAAGGTTCCCTCCGGTCTTGATATACTGTCAAATGCAATGGTACATTCACATAGAATTACAGATTTTAAGAGACTGGTGTATAATTAACTAAAGAAAAAAAGAACTCTTCTTTTATAAAACTTGCAGTAAGGACTCTCTGACTGCTCTGTATAAAAATGCTGCTGTATTATCCTCTATATCTTTCCAGACCTTTTAGAAACCAGAAGGCATTAGGAGCCAACACTTGTCAGCAGTGTTATAGGAGTTTAACATAACTACGTCATAAGAGGAATTAAAGGAAACATTTTACCAAGCATGATGCCAAGATTCTTCTTCAAGGAAGTGTGAAACTTTTAAAGATTTTGACATATCACTCTGATCCTGAATGCAGTACCAAAAAGACACAAAATCTCCTCTGTGTTCTGGTAGCTTGCAAATATTGTATCTGGATGATTTTAAGTTTGCAGTTTTTGATTGTGTTCTGTTACTTTTTAATTAATATTTATTCATAATTGTGCGCACTTGTCTAAAGACTTTTCACTTACACGATGGTTTTGGGCTTTGAAGCAAAGCAGTACAACAGGGTAAGTGATTATTAGGTAAAAGGGGGGAAGAAAAGTGTAACACTGAAACTCACTAAGGGACTAGGGACTATCAGTCACATTTGTGAGTTTCTGAAAGATGACTTTAGCCATTGCCAATTACCTTGAAATCCTCCCAGCCTTTGTCAGCCCAGCATTTGTTGCTATTTCTGCTCTGCCTATTCCCAACTCCAAGTGATAATTGCAACCTGACACCATGTGTGGAATAACAATTCACTGGAGTCCTCGGGGAATGTTCTCAGTTTCCATTCATGTTATTTTCTTCTTTGCATCTTTTCATGTTGAGACCTTCACTGTATAGGGCTTTGGTGCATTTCTTGCCTCTCATTTTACAGCTCTAATTTCTGATATGAATGTCAGCATAATAACCACTGCACAAGTGAGATGAAGGAATATGGAGTGTTTTTCCTGTATAAAGTTGATTAACTTAATCTGAAGTACCAGATGTAGCAGCAACCTTTGATAATAGTGAAATTTTCAAAGATATAATAGCTGTATTGTCAGACAAATAGTTCTGTGTGCCATACATGGTTTATTTTTTCCAAATAAATGAACACATCTCCCCTCGAGAAATGAGACTTAGATTCAAGTGTTTTTGTTTATGTTTCACTCAGAGTCAGATGACATTTAAAAAAGAATTTGACTATGCTTCCAATCCAGATATAGATCGGAATATCACAAAACGCTGATGCAGTTAGCTTTGTAAACAACACCTCAAAAACTAAACAAAAAGTAAAGAAGCAGAGAGAAACTAAGAATAGAACCATCCAGATATCAATGAAATACAGGAAGCTCATCCGTAACTCAGCATTCCCTATCAGTTTTTTCTTGACATGTCACTCTATGCCAGTGTCAGACTGGTTTGGAGTGACTGAAAAGTGCATCTTTGCTCTTTGCTGTAACCCAACACTAGTCATCTTTACCACAGAGTCACATTTAATTACATCAGAGCTATTTAAAGCTTAGATGATGCATAAAAGCAACTCTGAGTTTTATGCAGACCCAAAGCACCTTAGGATCAAAAGACTAAACAATACTTAAACAATACAAGATAAGGCATCACTAAAATAAATGACTTTATTGCTCCATTATTCACATTGTAGCCAACACTGTAAAGCTGGGCTCTATTTCTGTAGTGATTATAATAAAAGAAAGGATGAAGTCTAAGATTTTGAAATGCTAAGGTTTTGACATTCAGGTCACTAATTTTTCTTTCTCCTCGTTACCTCCTCGGTAGCCTCAGCAAGTCTTATGCTCAGAGAAATGTGGGTGGGGTATTGTTTTAAATTTATGAACTCGAGCTACCCTGTGTTAGATATTCTTTATGCATTCTTGGTTTTGCCTGACTTAGTCATGGTGGCTGATTGTTGCTGGAGTGATGGCAGCCCATCCAGAATTTGAGGTTTTTTGAGGGGATACTTCCCTTTCATGAGAGAAATGCAGCTTCATTTTATTTGTGCTCTCAATATTTGAAAAACCTTTTATGAACAAAGGCCTAAATCTGTTGTAAACTTTCATGAAATTTGATGCTGTGCTTGAGGTAAATTATTTCCACTCTGATTAAACACGATTTAATCAGAACAGTGGCTGGTCAGTGTGCTGCTCTTTGTCTTCTTCTTTTCAACTTACTCCATCCCGATCTTGTGCCCCAGGGACTGTGTCAAAGACACTAGTCTGTGATTAAAAGCTGAACTGCCATTTGTCATTGGGTACAGTTTCTAGAACTGGTCATCCAGTGGTGAGTCATTTATCCGTTTTGCCTGGATTACTGTCCTGACCTTCTACATTTCTGACCTACAGAACAAGATCATCCTGGACCCTCTGACATTCAGTGAGGCTCGTTTCCGTCCGTCTCTGGAGGAGCGCTTAGAGAGCATCATCAGTGGCGCTGCATTAATGGCTGACTCCTCATGCACACGCGATGACCGCCGTGAACGGATCGTGGCTGAATGCAACGCCGTTCGACAGGCCCTTCAAGACTTGTTGAGCGAGTACATGAACAATGTGAGTTTTTCTCTTATTGCTTTATTTTCACAACTGGATTGCAACTGCGTTCATTAGTGTGTGCGCACCTGTTTCACATACATCAGTGAAAACCTCTGTGCTAATAAAAACAGGCCTTGTTATTAATCTTTGGCCTTTCTTGGTAAAGCTGACATTTTATTTAGAAGTAAACACTTCTCTCTATTTCTGGAGATATTTCTTGCATAAATCTCTCTGTCCTGAAGGAGGAATGTATTCTTTGTTGCTATTCCATTTTTCTCTGTTGAAGAGGTTTAATGGACTTTTTCCTTGTTTGATTTGAGGGCCTAGGGATAGAGGTCTTGCAAGGTGTACACCTTGTAAAGCCCCCTTATAGCTGTACACCTTATATAGCCCAAAGCCCCCTTTGGGCTATAAAAATAAAATTGAAGTGCCTTGATGGTAAATGAAGGCAACAGCCTGTATATCTCTATATTTCAGGGCAGTCCAAAGACTGCTGCAAGCTACGTTAACAGTATGTTGGCAATATTCTTACCTTCAATTGCTCTTTGCCCATCCCTCATGCCTTTGGTGCTTTCATTCCCAGAGCATTGCAAGTAGACTCAAAGGTGAGAGGAGATGAGACTATGCGAGGCGAGGTGTGGGTGAAAGTCTGCTCTTTGACGTGCTGAGAATAGATGACTTGAGGATCAGGTCTATTTTCAGCACATATCACTCTTTTGATAACTTTGCATTTCCATCAGGTAATGGAAAGTGACTAAATGACAGAAATGCATAACTGCATGTTTACGAGTGATGAAACTATCATCGCTTTGAGGATTTGTACCTAAATATAGTTAAAAGTAATGAAAATCATGGCTCATTTGCCCTAGAGTAAAAATAGGACTGCGACCTCCTTACAACTGGAATAAATCGGTGGTTGCCAGGTGATTGCATTGAAGTTTTCACATTTGGTGACCGATTGCAATCTGTTGAACCAGCAATCATGTCGCCCAAAGGTTGAGCATTCAATACCCTCAAAGAGCGACGACTAAGAAAAGACTGGCAAAGGTTTGTTAATGATTGCTTTCTCATTTATATATATATAAAAAAGCAATCACTCTGTGGCAGTCTACACCAACGAGAGCAACTCAGCTGTGATGGGTCTCTTTGCTGTACGGGACTCAACTGATTGTCAGATAGTTGTATTCTATATATGTTTATACAGAAATAAGGCTGTGAGTGTGAATGTTATTTGGCAACTTCCAGCAAGCATGTCACTATTTGTGGAGGAGTTTCAGGATTTTTGTTGCTGTTGAGGTTCTGGCTGGAGTCTGAAAACAGGCGGTGAATGTTAATTCCTGTTTAATGTGATTCTTTTTTTCTATCTGTGGAAGGCAACAGATTTTGCGGTGTATCATAATTAATCACTCATGCTATCACAAACAGATAGCATGTAATAGGCAACTTGAACCCATTCAATTTCAGGCTGACGCTGTCTTACTGCCATTTTATTTCATACTTCTTGATTTACCAAAGTCACTTTGAAAATGATGACTAAATGTAATGATCACACATCATGTCGCTGTCTTTCAAGGAACCATTGAGACTGTGAGACTGCAAGTTCGTTGCACATGATCACAGTCATAGTTTTTCCTAGTGTGTCTGCAGCATTAAGAAAACAAGCTGGGTGTACGAAAGTACTGTATTTTGGGACATATTGTATGGTGGTTGGAAAGCATATGCCCTACGTCAGAGTTACTAACTGAACATATAATAATGGTCATGTATCCAACAATGTGAGGCCAAAAAAGTAAGGTTTTCACAAATGTTTGCCTTTACAGCTTAAAACGAAGGGTTATGTTATGAATCTCTGAATATTTACTGTATACTGAGTGTGTAAGTCATCGGTCTGCACACTGTGGCTCTAAACCCTGAGGTTAACAGTAGTATTTTCATCCTTGGAGAAGCTCATCTGGAATTTTTCTCTCCATTTAGTGAGCCATTTCTCATGCAACACTGTGACTGGCACAACTGTTTAAAGGTTATGAGGCTGACCAAGACAATGATTAATCATCACACATATCCGATTTATATTCTTCTTCAGCCCACCCTTTTGTGCACAGTGAGCCATGTGAGCTGTGTCTACATAAGGGAAATAGTAGGTGCCCTTGGATACTCTGTCATTGACCTTACACACATGAATAAGTTCTTGGAAGACTTTGCCATTAAATGGCAGCCCATAAGATTTTTGAAACTTTCAATGTCAAATCTATTAAATGTCTGATCTCTTTTTATCATGTTAAATCCAAGTGTGTTTTACACAGTCGACTTATTCCTGAATCTGTCTGCAGAGCTGCATTCAGACATTCATTGTTTTTTTTTTTCTCTCCCCCCTCCACTTTGAATTTACACTGTGCTAATTCCTGATCTGCACTCTAGCACATTCACTTTAAAATAAATGATTAAATTAAGCAACTATATTAAAGGGGCATTAGTCTCACATTTAATTTAAGGTTTGCATTAATGTGGAAAAACTTGTATGGGTGATGTAGCTTTTCTTAACATATAGTAGTAAATGTGAAATCAAACCAAATTATATTTTAGAAATATTTGCAAACCCGTTTCCAGTCAATGATGGTTGAACGTCACTAACCCATGGCATCGCAGTATCCTATCTTTGTTGGTGACTTGCTCTGGAGTCGCAAAGAGGTCTTTCTTCAGAATGTAAAGGATTTTACTGTCAGTCACAAGACTTTTTCTGCGTTTCAGTGTCAGGCTTTAATCTGTTTCTTCGTCTGTATGGTCACATTATTGCTACCAACTCAACAGTCACATTAAGAGTGGAACTGAAAGAAATTAAAAAGTTGTCATTCATTCTTTTTAAAAGAAGCTAATGACAGTGTAATATTGGTATTGAGATCTAATGAACTTGGCAGTCTTTGTCATAAATCATAGAGACCATATATTTGTAATTGGGACATTTACTAGGCCAGCATGACTTTTTAGACAATCCCTAGTTTGCTGAGACTGCTTGTGAGTTATTGCTGTGTTAGAAATGATGGCATTATACCCATGTGATCTACTAAAAATGGCTCTTAGAGTCAACATCGGTCATTATAGCCTACAGTCATATAACCATCTGTGAAAAAAGGCAGCTTGGGGGTTACCATTACCTAATTATACTGCTAGTACTTAATATGATACAAGGAACAATATTCTGCCCTTTTTTCAGTTATTCAGAGTTAGTTTTGTGAAGCATTAGTTTCTTTTTGAATGAAAAGCTGCAGGATTTCAAAAATGAGGTTGTAATTTGAAGTAAACGGTCGTACTGCTCCTGGGAACAAGACTGCGTGAAGTACTGGGATTCTCCAAAAAAGGACTGAGAGGCTGAACATCCCATTCACTACTCTAAAAATCTAGTCCAGGCTATAATCAGTTCTCAAGGCTGTCTCCTTAAAGAAAGTGAGGAATATTTACCGTATAGAAAAACAACTAAAAATCTGCATTATTATTTAGTGTAGTTGTATTCACAGATCAGAATGCCATGTCAGTGACAATTGAGTGACTTTCATGCATGCGTTACCTGCTCAGACTGGTGCCAGTGTTTGAATCATTGTGCCCTTTGTGACCAATGAGCAGCCTGCAAGTGTCTATTGATCCCAACAGTATCGCCTTTCCTACTGTGCAGCTAATATAATTTGTTTGTTGTGGCATTCGTGGTCATTGTCTAAAAACAATGGGGATCTAATAATGGTTGTTATTACATCAGAGTTCCTCTGTGGTTTTAATAGGATAATTGCAGTACAGTATGTGTCTCCTGGGTAAAATGTCCTTGAATTGATGTCTAAGCCAAAACTGTTATGTTTTTTTAGTTGTGTTTAACTATTGCCTTTGACTAATTAAAAAAATTGTAGTAAGGTTTGAAGAAAATTTAAGTAGCGGTGTGTCTCTGTTAATATCTGTATATGAGAAATTTAGACCACTTTAAGCATGATGTGTTAATTAAACATAATTTTGTTTCCATATTGAATGAGACAGTAAATAAATCAGTAAGAAACAGATCTATTAGCGATAAAACTGTCAACTTTAATTCTTTTTACACAGGTAGGTTTGGAAGCTGCGTGGATGGATTGCAGGAACCAGGTTAGTTCAGATTCTGGAGGCCAGACAAAGATTGCAGTGGTCTTTGCTAGACTTAAAAAAGCAAATCCTAGCTGCCTGGCTCCTCTGTCTATCCCTTCCAAGTGTTTCCAGTGTTGTTACATATTCTATTTCATCCACTAAATGACTTCTTCAACATGATTGACAAGTGGTCAAAATCACAGGCTGTATAAAAGATAAACGCGCTCTCTAGACAGCTCTACTGTAGCTTCCTTTCATGTTAGACTGATGGAAGATTAGACACTACAGTAACTCACTATTGCCCCTTAAGTGGCAAAGTCATCGCCTTCTGCATCTACTGTGTATCTGTGCTCAGTGAACGGCAGAGCATTTAGGTGACCACAGAGCAGCTGACATGGACATAAATGAAAAAGAAAAATACTGAAATCACAGCACATTTTAATCTGTAAAATAAGTATTTTAATAGTGCAGATCAAAAAACACCCTAAATTTAGAAGTGGCCACTGATCAACAAGCAGGCTTAATAAACCTTCAATCCTCCACATGTGAATATGATCAGGGGCTACTACAAGCATCATACATGGATCAAACTATTACATTTATATATAATATACACACTGTGGTATGCCATTTAACAGTAGCGTGTACTTAAAGGACTCCGCTCTTCTGGACAGAGATCAGAGCTACTCGTCTAGCTTGGGCCTACACCAAGTCCTCAGATTACTACTGGGACCACTGTTACCTTCAGCCTCCACATCTTCTCCAGCTCGTCTCTGAGCCCTTGGTGCTTCTCCATCTTCTCGTGTTCCTTCTTCCTGATGTTACTGTCATTCAGTATCACAACGTCTATCACTACGGCTGTCTTCCTCTGCTTCTCTACCAACACTATGTCCGGTTGGTTAGCCACCACCATTTTG